ACACCCTTACCCAAACAGACATGACATACACATCTCCTGGTGAACAGGTAAGTCTTTTGACAATGCCCTTTGCCTTAGTTTTAAATATGCCTGTTGATAGAGAACTTGACCTTTGACCTGCTTTCACGTTTCTGAGCTCTGACGAGATACCTTTTCACAATGCTTTACTTTTTCAAGGCCCGTGCTGCTTTATTTTTACAAGGCCTGAGGCCTATATCGGGTAAAGGCCCTTTTAATACGAGCTTGTAATCATTCTATCAGTTTCTATGTGCTTATCTATCTTGTACATCAAGACAAAATCACCCTAAATCAAAGACTCAATGTGTTTTTTTTTTGTTTTTTTTTTTTTTTTTCACCTTTGGCCGTCGAGATTTGATCTCTTTTTTTTTCCCCCTTTGGCCATCGAGATTTGATCTCTATTGTTGTTTGGTGTGTAAGGCTCGAATGATAACCTACTGGGCTAGCTTCTTGTGCAATTAAAAGACCGTGAAGTTCCTTGTTGTTCAGTTTCTTTTCCAGCACAACATAGTTTTTTTTTTTTGTTTTGTTTTTTTTTTGTTTTCTTTGACAGGGACCTTCCCTGGATCTTCCCTGCCCAGGCCTACCAGGCAACCAATTTGGAGAAATCGTGCCACTGGCAGTTGGTAACACAGACCCCCCAGTCCATTTCCCAGCCATTTCCCTCCGACCCGGAACGCGTCATGCCGTGTCAGGCGGGATGCACCCGCCTCTGATTATGCAAGGAATACATCCGGGTCCAAGCAAAAATGAGGTGTGCGAAGAATACATCCGGGTCCAAGCAAAAATGAGGTGTGCGAAGAATACATCCGGGTCCAAGCAAAAATGAGGTGGGACGTGGACTAACTTCCCCACCCTAAGATGATTGCGTATCTTTTTTTTTTTTTTTTTTTAAAAGATTATTGCTTCTTTTTAGTACGAAACAGGAGTCTTAGATAAAAGCACAGATGAAGCAAGTCTGGAACAACTGGCTTCGGGGAGACCAAGGGGGTTGGATAGTAAAACGGAGAGGAGGGGAGAGAGACGACCAAATGGGGCACATTAGGGACTATGGACTCCCCTTCTATGGGTGCCTTCCATGGGTGGGCCAGAGCTCATCCAGTTATCCTTGTGCACCCCCCATCAAACTTCCCAGACCCTTTCTGCACCACCACCCCTCCCCCTGTCCCCCCCCAATCAATGGTATTGGATAAGACCCAAGGGCCAAAAACAAAGAGAGCCCAAGCCCAAGCGAGGAAAAGGCAGCTGATGCAAAAACTATTTTCTATCCTTAGCTCGTTGCTGAAGGGCCTGAAAAAGAACCTTTCTGTCATTGCTCTGGACCTTTCTTCCCCTCCCCTTTCCAAGGCCTGCTCCCAGACGGGACCTTCCCGGATTGCGTGTGGTCGGAAATACCGTCCCATGTGTCGGGGAAAGTCCCTGCGCTGAGTGTATGCCTTCAACGCTACGAAAACCGAAGATCAGGGCGAAACAAATTTCTATCCCGCAGGCAGCCCCCTCCCATAACTACAGGTCGCGGTGTCCAACAAAGCCTATATAAGTTTCAATTCCGCCTTCTCCTTTCACGACTGTACTTGAACAGGATCTGTTCTGTAGATCGTACATTTTCCTGTATCTACGAATACAGGCGACTCACTCAACCTGGATGATGAGCGGAGACTTCCATTCCTGAGCGCGAATGCTAGGCGTGGGGCCTGTTTCGGCAGTCTCCAGCCGTTGATGAACGCACCCCTTGGCTTCGGTCAAGGGGTTCCGGAACGGGGGCGTTCTGACGGGTCTCCATTTTTCGTTTCACTTTTCTTTTTCTGTTTTCCAAAATTAAAAATGGCTACTTCACTTTTTGCAGTTGTTTTTTCTCCCCCTTGAAAAAAAATTGTTTGGATATCGTTTTTGAAAGCACTCCTCAGCTGAGTTGAGCTACCTCAACCGTGTGACAGCTTTTCAAGCATTTTTTTATCCTGTAGAAAAGAAGAATGCATTTGTTTTTTTATTTTATTTTTCCCACCTACACATTTCTTTGGAGTTTTCTCTGAGAAGTCGTCTCTCTCTCTCCACTCGTAAATCAGGGATCAAAAAAAAGCTAAAGAACGCAAACATCAACAGTCGACAAAAGACAATAACAACAACAACTCCCAAAAAAAAAAAAAAAAAAAAAAGAAATTGCATTGAACTGGCTACAACGCAAAAAAAAAAGGCAGCTAGCTCAATGCTAGGGCGCGAGGGTAGGGGGCTTGATATTCGAGTTTTAAAGTTTTTTTGAGGCTATGTAACTTATGTTATAATTTAACATAACAACAACCACGTGGCTTTCAGGAAAAAAAAGAACCGATGGATTCTCCTCCGATTTTGCATCTCTGACATCGCGCTGTGTCCCACATGATAGAAATCTCAACATTGAGCTAACTCGATGGTGCAAGTGGGACATCTCCCCAGGAGGGAGATCCACTACCGATGTATGTGGAGTGTGTGTGGATTAGTGTTTAAACCACCAGTACTAGGCCCAGCTGTCGGCTGCGGAAAAAAATGGAGTATAATTCTCGTTGGATGAATTTAGGAACTCTTGTAGTGCCCCGTACATTTCCTAAAATTGCGTAGCGTTAACGCTACGCGACTTTAGGAAGTACTGGTGGTTTAAGGTGTGTGACTGTCAGGCATCGTGGATTTGGCACGAAATCAGTGGTAGCCTGTTTTTGTGAATTAAGCGCAGGAACATGATGTTTTTTTTGGCTCCCCCATTGGTAGGCTTTTCTTTCGTTTTTTGCTGTGGGGGTCCTGTGGCGGTCCCAAACGTGCGTGCATGAAATCGAGACCAATTTTTTTGGGTAATGAAATCGCGCACATTTCATTCACGGCGAAGGCAAAGACGAATGGCTTCATCGCTGGAAATTGATTGTGGTTTGGGAGGGTTCCATCCCATCACCTCCAGCAAATGGTGTATGGAGATACTCTTGCCCTCCTTTGACAAAGAGAATTTCTGTCAGAACACAGCCGAACACTGAACTGCTGCCTCTTTCAAGGAAGCGTCAGAATATTGTCAATGAAAATATGGTCCGTGTGCCCACTCACATGCAGTCATCTTGACTGCCACAGCCATGGTCTGTGAATCATACCCTGACATCTAACAGCCCGCCTGGAGCAGACACCATCTGTGAGAAGAGTCCTTCCTTTTCTTTTTTGGCAGTTTTTTCTTCATTTGTTTGGTCATGAAATGTTTTTTTCCCAGCCTCTCTTTTGGTGTGCGTAATCAAACGAGCTGGGTCTTCTTGTAAAAAAAATACAAAACAAAAAAAAAGTTTTTTTGCATTTATTTAAATAATTTTCCCTATTTCACGCTGCCACCCACCTGTCCCCCACCCGTTCCCCCACCCGTCCCACACCGTCACGCTAATCCACATACACGGCTAGTGGGATCTCACTCCAGGGGTCATGGGATGGGGGCATTCTGACAGCCCCCCTTTTTGTTTCTTATCTCAAAATTCAGCAACACATCCCCTTTTTGATGGCTACCCCTTTTTGCAGGAGGACAGCCTTCTGACAGGGGCTTCCGTTGTAACACTTCTAACAGGCTTTTAACGGAGATTCAACATCGTTTTGACACGCGTTCAATCTTTCAACGCGGAACCCGCGTTGGATCAAAAATTTTCAGACTCACAGTACTACCTACCACTCCACTTACATGATGAAATATAGGGATCGTTTTTTTCTTGGCTTTTGGTGTTGCCTTATTATTCCCAATATGAGAACACAAACATGTTCTATCATGAAACCATAAAATCGATTTTCATATTGGAAATGAAATTCTGTTTCATAATTAGAAAACTTAGCGGCACCATTGTACTTGGATCCATCAAATCATCCACCTCCCTTCCTTTCCCAAACTTCATGTTGAACTTCTACAATCAATCAATCAATCACCTTTCATCCACCCCGGGTCCCCACCCTCCCTCCTCAATTACTGAATTTAACACGGTTAAAAAATGACCTGCCCACCATCCATTTACTACTTCCCAAGGGAAAAAAAAAGAGTACCTGCGGCACAGTCACAATTTCAACTTTCAAGTCTTAAATGCACTTCGGTCAGACCCCGATCGTAACAAAACCCCCAGGTGACCCTTCCACACCTGAAACCTGGCTTGTATACATACAATGATACAACATTTTCGGGCCTTTTGCCTATATTGCATTTACAACTTGAGAGGGCAACTCCACCGTAGTTCTTTCAAAGGGTAAACTAAGGGGCAGCCAAGGTTTTCAGTTTTTTTTTTTTTTTTTCCGAATGTGTTTTAACAGGGAAAACTAAAGCGAGAAGTGTAGGTGTTCAGTTTTAAAGGCGTTTCTGTCACGGTTTCACAAATTTTACTCCAAAGCGAGGAAAATCACGAAATGTATAGAGTTGAATGGGATGTGTTGTATTCGAGGGATGCCTGGAGTGTATTTAGAACTGACGCCGTTGTTGCCCCTATTTCCAAAAAAAATCATTTTTTTGTGGGATGATTGTCCTCTCTTCTTCCTATCTCGCCCATGGGCCTATCTTCAAGATGGTACCGGACGAAGACGAAACCGGGGACGGAAGTTTCTGGACCGCGGGAATTACGATTACCAGCTATTTATGAATTAGACTGTGGTACCAATGGGATGCAGGTGGGAATCGGGACAAAGGGGTGGGACCGACAGAATAGGACAGGGATGTGAATCGGTGGCAGTATTAATACAGTAGGATTAGTTTCTCCGAACATCTCGGATCGCCCTGATGAAGCCCCTTCTGGCGGGTGGCCGAAACTAGTAGGGACGGGCCAGCCTCTGCGCTCTGCGGGACTTGCCTCAGATCACAACCACCAAGTCATTCCAGCTCGACATTTCTCTTTTTTCCTCTTTTTCCTTTTTTTTTTTGGCCGGGGCCCGGGGGGAGGAGGATGCTCCAGTCTGTTCGTTGGGAGCAGCACGCGCTGGGAACCGGGCCCAGCGTCCCGTTCCCAGCTACCCTCGGGATACTTCATTTCTAAAATACATTGGGCTGTCATCCTGTAGATCGATCGCAACTAACGGCTATCATCACTATGTGACCGTCTGAACGCGGTGAACGCGCGTTCGCTTTCGGACGCCCGCGCTCATCATCATACACTCCAGACAGCCAGTTGTTTCTCATTTCTATTTGAGAGAGAGTGCCGTCATATGAGATCCAAGCACACACATTCACAACGTTCCCACACAAAACCACCTCTCTCTCACATTCTCCCATTGCGCGCAGCAATGCGGCAGCATTCCTCTCTCTCACGTTCTCCCATTGCGCGCAGCATTCCTCCTATCGTTTACTCCATTAATGCGAAGGGCTCAATCACCTGTACATCTGCCACTTCTATATCCTTATTCTTCCTTCCATTCCATTTCCGGGTTCCCCCCCTCCCCACCATACCCAACCAGGGGGACCCCTCTCCTCCTACCTTCCTCCTATCCCCCTCCTCTCTCTCTCTCTCTCTCTCTCTCTCTCTCTCTCTCTCTCTCTCTCTCTCCCTACCCATACCTCACCCTATACTGGTTCACTCTATAGCGTTCGGTTGTTATTTCCTCAACGTTATCAGTTCAGCCCATCTCTCTCTCTCTCTCTCCACATAGCTC